CCAGCGTCTGGATGTTGCCCCCGACCAGGAAGGTGGCGAAAACCAGGAGGATGAGGAGCCAGGAGAACAGGAAAGCCAAGCCAACGCCGCTGGAAGAGGGAGAGGAGGCGGCGGTGGTGGCTTTGCAGAGCCGAGCAGGCAGGAAGGGACCTGCCCGTCCAGCTGCAGCCCCGCGGCTCCTTCCCGAGCCCGGGCACGCCGGGCTGGGCACAGCCCTGCGAGCGGGGTGTGCCGAGCTGCCACATCCAGGCAGGGGCAGCTTCTCCCAAACCTGCCCGCGCAGGCGGTGCCTTCAAAAGCTTTTCCGCTGGGACGGCTCCCAGTCCCTCCCTTGGCTTTGCCCGGGGTTTTTTTGGGGGGTGTGGGAGATGGAAGAGCCCTCCAGCACCCAGGAGAGCTTACAGCAGGAGGAATTTGGCGCCGGCTTCTGCTCGGCACTCGTAGTCGCTGGGGTCCTCCCGCTTGGAGAGGCCGTACGCCCCCAGGGCCATTCCCGTCACGTTGCAGGCGAGGATGAGGAGGATGATGGAGCACAGCACCGTGCCCGCGATCCACCTGGGGTGGGGGAAAGAAGAGCAGCAGGGCACAGCCTCGAGATGCGGGGCACCTGGGGCTCGGGGACCTTCTGTGGGGCGCTGCCCGCAGGGTCACCTGTAGCGCTCGAAGCGCTCCACCTCCCGCAGGTACGGCTGGCTCCGCTGCTCCGCCTTCAGCAGCGCCTCGCTCACCGGCCGAGTGTAGTCGGGGAGGGGGAAGCCGTCGGCGATGGACTGCACCTTCTCCGCCGTGCGGGCCAAATCGCCCCGCAGATCTGCGGGGACAAGGCTGCGCTGGAGGGGTCCCTGCATCCCGTGTCCCCAAACTGGGATTCACCGCCAGCAGGGTGTCCCCACTCGCGCTGGCAGCCCCACTCACCCTGGATGACCTGCGCCATCCTCTCCACGGCCAGCTCCGGGATGGAGTTGAAGGTGCCGTTGCCCTGCGAGGAAAGAGGGGGTGCTGAGAGGCTCAGCTGCAGCTTCCCTCACTTGCTGAACCCCCCGCTTCACCCCGACACCCCCCCAACCTGGCGAATCATCTCCGCAAAGTCACTTCGGGGCAGCCCGGCCAGCGCCTTCAACACCTTCTCCACCGACGGCACCTTGGGGCGGAGGAAGGAGCCCGTGAGCCCGGGCTCGGCGGGCTGGGGAGGTGGCGGTGGGGGACCCCGAGCCCACCTTGCCGTAGTCGGCGCCCAGCTCCAGGCTCTGTGCCCTGCCCAGGACGCTGGAGCAGGAGGTGCAGCGTGGGTCGTCCAGGAGCGCGACCACGCGGCGCCTTCGTTCCCGCAGCGCCGGCTCCAGCTCGGCCCGAGCCGCCGCCAGCGCCCGCGCCGTCCTGTGCAGGATCTGTAAATGGTGCAGCGAGGTCTGTAGGTCTTAAAGAGAAAGGCCAGGGCTGGGTCACGCTGCTCCTCTCGGATCGGATCGGCTTCAGCCCCGGTGCCGGTCCAGCCGTACCTCCGGCCCGGTCCTGCAGGTCCTCCAGCGCCGCGTAGGTCACGGCCTTGAGCTGCGAGTGGATGGAGAGCCCCACGCTCCGGCTGAGCCCTGCGAGACACCGGGGCACCGTCAGCACCTCGTCCGTCCCCGGGGCACCGTCAGCGCCTCGTCTGTCCCCAGGGTCAAGCTTGGGGTGCTGCCCGGCGCCGCGCTTACCGCCCAGGTCAGAGATGATCTGCTTTCGGGGCACCTCGAACTTGTCCACCACCATCTGTACCCCCTGCCAGGACAGAGGAGCCGGTCAGCCGGGGGTAGCAGCCGCCGGGAGGGGCGGGAGCCCCGCGTTGCCGTTTCCAAATCCATTTTTAATGCGGCCGCGTCACCTCCTCTCGCCTGCCCAACTATGCCCCGAGGGAAATGCGGCCATCCCCGGGCAGCGCCCCGTGCCGGGGGCGAGCCCGCTCGGGGACCCACCTGGGGGACATTGGCCAGGTGCTGTCGCAGCGTGCGCAGGGTGGAGGGCACAGCCCCCAGCCCCGGCTCCATCTGTCCCTTCACTCTCTGGTTGGTGACGAAGGCGCAGGTGACTCCGATCCTGCGGGGAACCGGCGGGCGGTGACGGCGCTGCCCGGCCCCTCAAACCGCAGTTCCCCCGGCCCGCTGCGAGTTTTTTGGGGGTGATTTGGGGGACTCACAGGATGATGAGGGAGGTGAAGGACAGGCAGGCCAGCAGGCAGCGGCGGCGGCAGCCCAGCGAGCGCCGGTGGGCGCGGAGGCGACCCCCGCACCGCCGGCGGCTCCGGCAGTAGCAGAAGCACATCCCGGCCACCGGCACGGCCACGGTGAAGAGCAGAGCCACGGCGGCACAGACGACATAGCCCAGCTCGTACTGCACCACCTGAGCCACGGGAGAGCCTCGTCGGCACCTCCGCACCGAGCTCGGGGCGCTCCCGGTGCCCCGAGCCAGGTGCGAAACGTCCCCACGGGATCCCGGCTCACCTGAGACGTCCGCACCGAGCCGGGGTCGTTCAGGGCTGTCCTGAGCAGCTCTGCAAAAATCATAAATATGGCCCAGGTAAAAGAGGCCTCCCCCGATGTATCCCCAACCTTCCTGGGGCAGCGGCACCGGGACAGAGGCAGAATCCTCTTCCGGGAGCCCTGGATTCGCCCCGGGCGCGGCGATTGCAGCCGGCGGAGCCCCGGAGGTGCCGGTACCGGTACCGGCAGCAGCGGCTCGGAGCTCACCTGTGGGCAGCGGGTTTTGCTGGATGAGGTCCAGGCAGCTCCGGACGAGGCCGTAGAGAGGATCGAGCGAGCTGGGCACGCGGTGCAGAGCCGGCACCCGGATCTCGGCGTGCCGGTCGGTGAAGCGGAGGACGCCGGTGGGACCGGAGGGGTGGCACTGCTGGCCGGCAGAGCGCTGCAGCAGCAGCGCCCAGGCCAGCAGCAGCCCGGCTGCCCGCATGGCTCCGGCCGTGGCGAGCAGAGAGCCGGGGGCTCCGTCAGCCTCGGAGCGGCAGGAGAGGCATCCCCGGCTCCGGACGGCTCGCTGCGGCTGGGCTCTGCTCCGGGAAACCTGCCTGACGGGTCAGCCGCTGCTCAAAGCCCAGACGCTGCCCTGGCTTGTTCCCCCCACGGGCTGCCCGGGGCGGCTGGGCTTGGCGGGGCTGCGTGGAGGCGTCTCCCAAAAATCATCCCGGGCCTGTTTCGCAAGCCCCGGCATCCCTGAGTCACCGCCGCGGGGTCCCCGATGTCAAAGCCCTTCCCCAAAGCCACGGCAAAGGCTCCCCGGGGTTTTGGGGAGAGGGACGGGGGGTGGTGAAGCCCCTGTCCTCGGGCTGGAGGGTGCCCCAGCCCACCACAGCCACCTTGGGAGGAGGGATCTGGGGTTTTGGGCATCACTTGGGGGGTGGGAAAGCCCTTGTTGGGGGATCCTCGTGTGTGGATGGGGGTCAGAATCACCCTTCGGAAAAACATCCCGAGATCTGGGGTAGCAGCAAGAAGACAAAACGAGGAGGAACACGTGGAGAGGAGCCCCGAGCCCGCTCTGGCCGGGTGTGAGACGAGTTTTCCATCCTCAGCCAGCGCCCGTCTCCCACCCCGAGGCTTCCGCCGCTCCTTCCCAGGGCCCGCATCTCACTCCTCGGCATGGGTCGAGCGCTAATTACAGGCTGGGCTGGAAGCTCAGGAGGTTCAACCTGATCTGGGTGCCGGGGGGAGCAGCCCCGCTGTGCCCAGACGGCCTCGGGGCACCCCGAGAGCCGCGACCCTGCTCGGCCGGGCGGGTCGGACCGGCCCTTCCCCAGCGCCGCCTGCCCACGGCCCCGTCTCCCCGGCGTTGATGCTAATCCGCCTGCTTCCCCTCCTTCTGGAAGTTTCCCTCTGGAAAAGGGGTTTTCAACCCAGCCGGAGCTTTTTTTTTTTTTCCAGCCGCTTGGGAACGGGATGTTGCGGACGGGAAAATCCTGTGGCGGCTCGGCTTTGTCCCATCCTGGGACAAAATTTCCAGGGCCAGGAAAGCCTGGAATTTTCAGCAGGGATCATTTATGTGCCAATGCGTCTGTGCAGGGCGAGGGAGCCCGCAGCAGAGCTGGGGATGATTTCCCACCTTGGTTTCCCATTCCCACCATCATTTCCCAACCACAGCCTCCATTTCCCGTTCCCACGGTGATTTCCCGGATTTCCCATTCCCACGAGGATTTCCCATCCCACCACGGCTTCCACGCCCGTGATGATTTCCCATCCCCACCGATCGTTTCCCGCTCCCACCATGATTTCCCAGCCGTATCCAGGATATTTTTGGGTGTGGAGGTGATTTCCATGTCCGAGGGGAAGGGATGGAGCGTCGCTGGTGACCCTGCCACGCGTGTGTGGTGCCCCCCTGCCCCAGTGGTGACTTTGGGGTGGTTTTGGGGTGGTTTTGGGGTGGTTTTGGGATGGTTTTGGGATGGTTTTGGGATGGTTTTTTTGGGATGGTTTTGGGATTTTTTTTTTGGGGTGGTTTTGGGACGGTTTTTGGATGTTTTTTTTGGGATGGTTTTTTTGGGATGGTTTTGGGATGGTTTTGGGGATGGTTTTGGGATGGTTTTGGGGTGGTTTTGGGGTGACTTTGGGATGGTTTTGGGGTGGTCTTGGGATGGTTTTGGGATGCTTTTGGGGTGGTTTTATCCTCTCTCTTCCTGACCCAAGGGACAACTGCTGCTCCCAGCTGTGCTTAAAGAGCCCACGGGGCTGCTGGAAATTGTGGATATTGTGGGATAACTGTGGGTTCGGGGATGGGCACTGGTTCGGTGCCGGTTCGGTGCCGGTTCGGTGCTGCGGTACCGTCTGTGACCGCTACGCGGCGCGAGAGCCCCGGGGCTCCCAGCGAGGGGCGTGGCCTCTCCATTGGTAGGCGTGGCCTCTTCCTAGTAGGCGTGGTCTCTCCGCCCTGGTGGGCGTGGCCTCGATTTGTGGGCGTGGCCTCTCGATGCCCCGCCGTGCCCCGCGAGGCCGGGAAGTGACGTCACGCTCGGGCGCGACGCCGTCGCCATCATGGCGGGCAGGGGGGCCTCACGCGTCCCGGAGCGGTGAGCGCGGCCCCGAGCGCGGCCCCGAGCGCGGCTCCTCCCGCCCGGGGGCTCCCGGGGGCTCCACGGCCGCTGGGAGGGAGCCGAGACCCGGGAAGCGGCGGCGGGTGTCACATGGGTGTCGTGGGGACGGGGCTCTGTGGGGCTGCAGGGTGTGAGGGGCTGCAGGGTGTGAGGGTCTCTGGGGCTGCAGGGTGTGAGGGTCCCTGAGCCAGGGGGGGATTTGGGAGTCCCGAGCCCGCTGAAGGTTTGAGAGTCCCCGGACCAGGCTCCTTCTTCCCAGGCCGGGGTCGGTTTGAGCTCTCTGGGTTTGAGGGTCCCCAGGACTGGGGGGAATTTGAGGGTCCCTGGGCTGGGCAGAGTGTGAGGGGTCCCCAGGACTGGGGGTTTGGCAGACCACGGATCAGGGGGTGTTTGGAGGATCCCTGGACATTGGGGAGTTGTGAGGGTTCTCTGTCCTGGTGAATTTGTGATTCCCAAGCCGGGGGGGTGTTGTGTTCGGGGGTCTGGGGGTGTTTGGGGGGCTCGGGCCGGGGTCTCTGCCCCGGTTTCACACCCCCACGGGTGCAGGTGGACCGACTACATCCCGCTGGGCTGCAGGATGCCGGGCACGCGCTTCATCGCCTTCAAGGTGCCCCTGAAGAAGGTGAGGGGGGCACTTTGGGGGTGCTTAGCAGCTGTGGGGATTCCTTGAGAGAGTTCCTGAGGGTCACAGCTGGATTTTGGGGGCTCTGAGGGGGTCAGCTGGGCCAGGGGAGGCTCAGGCTGGACATCAGGGGGAATTCCTTCCTGAGAAGGGCAGTCAGGGTTTGGAACCGCCTGGGGAAGTTTGGGGTGCCCACAGCTGGAGGTGTCCAAGGCAGGCCGGGATGTGGCACTCTGGGCTGGGCACAGCTGGCTCTGGATGGTGTTGAAAGGCTTTTCCAGCCTCGGTGGATCTGTGATTCCGTGTTTTTGGGCTGAATCCTTCAGGGTTTGCGGCTTCCACCTGCCAGCGTCCTGGTGCGTTTCTCGCTGCGGGGTTTCACCGCGGTTAAAAGCCGTCACTCGCCCCTGGGAGCTCTCAGCTGAGCAGCCCCAAAGCTCTGAGGCCCTGAGCACATCCCTGCCCATAAAACTGGATGAGTTTTAATCTCCTTTCCAGCCCAAACCACCCCAGGATTCAGTGACCAAACCCTGTTCTGCTTCAGCCGGTTCCTCTTGCCCGAGTCATCCCCGATCTCCAGGACGCTCCGGAGCAGCAGCCTCCCCCCACCCAGATTCAATAACTGAGCTCTTAAAACATCACTTCCTGCAGAGTTTTGAGCAGAACCTCCTGCCAGAAGAGAGATTTTCCCCTCACGACCTCATCAGGAAGGTCAAGGAGCGGAAGGAGGAGCTGGGGCTGATCATCGACCTGACGTACACCACGCGCTACTACGGCCGCGAGGTCAGCGCTCAGAAACCCGGGGATTCTCCCCAAAAACAACAGCCTGGCACGGTGGGAGGGCCTGGAATCCCCTGGCAGGCCAGTGGGGGGGTTTCTGATGGAATCTCCCACCCCCAGATCCTCTCTGAGCCAGCCCAAGGTTGGGAATGCTGTTGAGGAGGGGAAGAGCCGATTGCAAACGGCTTTGGCTGGGTGGGCAGTCATGGGAAAGGTGTTCCAGGTTCAGTGTGTGCTCCATCCTCCCCAGGGAGAAAACAGAGCAAAGGAACAATCCAGAACATTCTCTGTCCAGGGAGTAAAACAGAGCTTTTCTGACCTAAAATTGCGTAGCTGCTCTTTGAGGCTCAGTGGGAAAATTCGTCATTCTGGTTTATTACCTGTGATTCTTTAATTAGCAAGAATCTTTGTGCTTTTTTTTTTTTGGGGAATGATTGAGGGTTTTTTCCTGTAGGAGCTGCCCCCCACGCTGAGGTACTCGAAGATCCTGACCATGGGACGTGAGATCCCAAACAGAAGAACCATTTTGAGGTTCAATTACCTGGTGAAAAAGTTCCTGACAGACAACAAAGACAACGGTGAGCGCGGATCTCCCTGACTCTGCCGGGAGTTTCTTTTCCTTCTCTTGACGTGGGAATGTGGAGGCAATAAATTGGGATTTTCCTGGTGGAGGAATTGGGGTTGGCTCTGATAATCCAGGCCAGGCTGGATGGGTTTGGAGCAGCCTGGGACAGCAGGAGGTGGCACTGGATGGGTTTGAGCTCCTTTCCAACCCAAACCGCTGCAGGATTCCGTGGTGATTTGTGCCTCCATCGACTCTGAGCTCTGGGACTGTGCAGAACAGCTGCCAGGATTAACGAGCTGATGAACTTGGGTGCTAATTAGGCATAGCTACGGTGATGTGCGTGGTTGTTTCTGTTCATTGATGGAGGGCTGATGCAGATGGGCTCGTTTTGGGGAGATCTGGGGAGATTTGGGAGGAGAAGCAGCTGAACATGCCCTGTGTGTGTTCCAGATAAACTCATCGGGGTGCACTGCACGCATGGCTTGAACAGGACTGGCTACTTGGTCTGCAGGTGAGCTCTGCTGGCTCAGGTGAGGTTCAGTGGTGCCATTTTCCAGGAGAAAACAAGAGAGGAGTGATTTCTGTGATCCCAGACTTGCATGGATTTACAGCTTTTGTTAGCAGGGGGTTTTCACCCCAGAATTCACCATTAAATGCTGATCATTCTGGCGTTTAAATAAAAGGTTTAAAACTCCCCCACTCCTTTTTTCTTTTAATTTTTTTATTTTTTCCTGTTTAAATCATCACCAACCCGTCAGTGTTTTCATAATTAATTGTGTAATGAGGGATTTCTCTCTGCTCTGTGCAGGTACCTGATTGATGTTGAAGGCATGGAGCCAAATGCTGCCATAGAGTGTGAGTGTCCTGCTGGGGTGGGGAATGCTCAGGGAGGTTTGGGATGGCTCCAGGGGGGGAACTGTGCTTGGTGAAGGGGTTCAAACCCTTCTGGGGGGCTTCAAACCCTTCTGGAGGGTTTCAAACCCTTCTGGAGGGGTTCAAACCTTTCTGGAGGGGTTTCAAACCCTTCTGGAGGGGTTCAAACCCTTCTGGAGGGGTTCAAACACTTCAGGAGGGTCTCAAACCCTTCTAGGGGGGTTTCAAACCCTTCTGGGGGGTCTCAAACCCTTCTGGGGGGGTTTCAGATCCTTCTGGGGGGGTCTCAAACATTTCTGGGGGGCTTCAAACCTTTCGGGAGGGGTTTCAAACCCTTCTGGAGGATCTCAAAACCTTCTGGAGGGGTTTCAAAACCTTCTGGGGGGGTCTCAAACCCTTCTGGAGGGGTCTCAAACCCTTTTGGGAGGGTCTCAAACCCTTTTGGGAGGGTCTCAAACCCTTCTGGAGGGGTTCAAACCTTTCTGGAGGGGTTCAAACCCTTCTGGGGGGTTTCAAACCCTTCTGGAGGGGTTCAAACCCTTCTGGAGGGGTTCAAACCCTTTTGGAGGGTTTCAAACCCTTCTGGAGGATCTCAAACCCTTCTGGAGGGGTCTCAAACCCTTCTGGAGGGGTCTCAAACCCTTCTGGAGGGGTTCAAACCCTTCTGGAGGGGTTCAAACCCTTCTGGAGGGGTTCAAACCCTTCTGGAGGGGTTCAAACCCTTCTGGAGGGGTTCAAACCCTTCTGGAGGGGTTCAAACCCTTCTGGAGGGGTTCAAACCCTTCTGGAGGGGTTCAAACCCTTCTGGAGGGGTTCAAACCCTTCTGGAGGGGTTCAAACCCTTTTGGAGGGGTTCAAACCCTTCTGGAGGATCTCAAACCCTTCTGGTGGGGTTTCAAACCCTTCTGGGGGGTCTCAAACCCTTCTGGGGGGGTTTCAAACCCTTCTGGAGGGGTTCAAACCCTTTTGGGAGGGTTTCAAACCCTTTTGGGAGGGTTTCAGCTGCTCAGCAGCCCCAAGGCTGACTCGTGTTGGGGTAACTCTGTCTCTCCCCAGTGTTCAACAAGTCTCGAGGGCATCCCATGGAGAGACCAAACTACATCCAGGATCTGCAGAGGAGAGCCCTGAAAAAGTGAGTCTGGGCGTTCCAGGAGGGAGGAGAGCTGCTGGAGGAGGTCACGAAGCTCAGGGCAGCTCCAGGAGGGGAGGTGGGAGCTGGGGGAGCACGCAGGGAGAGCCAGGGCAAGGGGGAAAATGGTTTAAAGTATTTTAAAATGGTTTAAAAATGGTTTAAAGCTCACAGAGGTCAGGGTTGGGTGGGATGTTGGGAGAAATCCCTCCCTGGGAGGCTGGTGATGGGCTGGGATGGAATTCCCAGAAAATCTGTGGCTGCTCCATCCCTGGAAGCTTCCCAGGGCAGGTTGGAGCAGCCTGGGATAGGGGAAGGTGTCCCTGCCCGTGGCAGGGGTGGGATTTAACGTCCTTTCCAAACCATTCTGCGATTGGAACTGGATGGAAAAACACCCAGGCCCCCTTTTCTGGGCAAGCAGGGATGGGAAGGGCAGGGATCCGGTGTGAAAGAGCTGATGTGATCACTCAGTGAGCGAAAAACTCAGTTTTTCCAGTGGAAACATCTGGATTTCTCCTTAAAATTCCCTTCAAAAGCAGCTGTGAGCTGAAGAATTTGGGCTCGGAGCTCTCCAGGAAAAAAGGCAGCGCCCCAGGCAAGCCCCAGAAGCAGCTGGTGAAGCAGCAGCCACCCCTGGCAGTGCCCAGGTAGGTGTTTTCCCCTTTTCTTGGAAGGGGAAACGAATTCCAGCTGGATTTTTAGGAGCTGCAGCTCAGCCAGGGCTTTGCCCAGCTGTGGGAAGGGTGAAAGGGGGAAAAAAAACCTCTGGGAAAGGAGAGCCAAAAGACCAGCAGTGAAGCTCTTGTAGGGATGGAATGACATCCTGGCAGGGTGGGAGCAGGATCCCTGAGGGGCTGGAATGTTCCTCAGCTGGAATCTTCAGGGAAATCCAGGAATTTCCAGGGAAATCCAGGAATTTCCAGGGAAAGTCAGGAATTTACAGGGAAAGTCAGGAATTTACAGGGAAAGTCAGGAATTTCCAGGGAAATCCAGGAATTTCCAGGGAAAGTCAGGAATTTCCAGGGAAAGTCAGGAATTTACAGGGAAAGTCAGGAATTTACAGGGAAATCCAGGAATTTACAGGGAAATCCAGGAATTTACAGGGAAATCCAGGAATTTACAGGGAAATCCTGGAATTTCCAGGGAAATCCAGGAATTTACAGGGAAATCCTGGAATTTCCAGGGAAAGTCAGGAATTTCCTGGGAAAGTCAGGAATTTCCAGGGAATGGAGAGCCAAGTGAGGCAGCTCTCCCCTGAGAGCGAGGTGGGAGCTCTGCTGCTGTTCTGGGTTTCTCCTGGGGCAGGGCATGCAGGGAAGAGCTGGGAAATTTCCCAGGAAAAGGCTCTGGGTGCACCCAGAGGGGCTGAGGGAGTTCCCAACCGGCCCTTTTCGGGTGCTGACTCCCCAATTTCCTTGCAGGAGTCCCGGCAGCTCCAAGAAGAAGCAGCAGCCTGGCCCCACGGCTCAGGGACAGCCCCAGGAGCCGGGCCACAGGCACGGGGCCCTGGGGCAGGGACAGCTGGAGCAGAAACAGCTGGAGCAGAAACAGCTGGAGCAGAAACAGCTGGAGAAGCTGGAGCAGAGGAAGCAGAGGAGGCTGGAGAAGAAGCAGCAGAAAAAGCTGGAGAAGAGACAGAAAAAGCTGGAGCATCTGGAGCAGAATCATCTGGAACAAGGGCAGGATCATCTGGAGCAGAGGCAGCAGAAGAAGCTGGAGCAGAAGCAGCAGAGTTTCCTGGAGCAGAATTGTCTGGAGCAGAGGCAGCAGAAGCAGCAAAATCATCTGGAACAAGGGCAGAAGAAGCTGGAGCAGAGGCAGCAGGGGCAACAGAGTTTCCTGGAGCAGAATCACCTGGAGCAGAGGAAGCAGAGTCACCTGGAGCAGAGTTTCCCAGAGCAGAGGAAGCAGAAGAAGCTGGAACAGAAGCAGCAGAGGCAGCAGAGTTTCCTGGAGCAGAGGAAGCAGAATCACCTGGAGCAGAATCACCTGGAGCAGAGGAAGCAGAATCACCTGGAGCAGAGTTTCCCGGAGCAGAGGAAGCAGAAGAAGCTGGAACAGAGGCAGCAGAGTTACCTGGAGCAGAATTTCCCGGCGCAGAATCACCTGGAGCAGAGTTTCCCGGAGCAGAGACAACCCTGCACTTTCCCCCCCAAGAACTTTTGCCTTTCCCCACCCCTCAAGAAGCAGCACAAGGAGCTGTTCCCCACCCAGATCCCCCAGTCCTGGCCGCCCCAGGAGCCCTCACCTGCCAGGAAACGCCGGCGCAGGAAACACAAACCGCGGCAGCAGGAAATATCCTGACAGCACCAGAGATTTCCACCAGGAAAAACCCTCCCTGGGCTGGAGGGGACAGCTGTGGCTCAGCCAGGAACTGGGTGTGGAGCAGCTGAACAGGGCTATTTTTTAATCTGATTTCTTTTACTGCCCCCAGATGCTTTTACACGGAATTTTTTTAACGCAGAGTCCGACCCGTGGGGGGATGCAGGGAATAAAAATAAACACGGACTCAAGCAGAGCTGCAGTAATCCTAAAGAAATCCTCAGGCATCCCTAGAACTTTCAACAAAACGGGATTTTGTTGATTTCCTCAGCAAGAAACGGGATTGGGCCTGAAACACCAGATTTTTGTGTCTCGTTTTTACCCACTTTTGCTAAAGTAAATTTCCACGCTGTGCAAACTGCAGCCTGGGTGTGGAGCAGTCATTTTCCCGGAGGGGCCCGTGCAGGATCCGCGCTCCGGGGGGGGGTCGGGAGGGGCTCGCCCGGTTTTGGGGTGAAAACGGCCGGGTTTGGGCTGGGCCGGAGCGCGGCCTTTCCGCGGGCGCTGCCCCTTTAAGACGTGAGTTGTGACGTCATGACGCGCTGCGTACCGCGGAGGAAACGGAAGCGGCAGGGCGGAAGTGGGTGTGGGTGCAACATACCCGGATGTTGAGGCGGTTTCTGATTGGCTGCCGGAAGCGAGGCTGGGCGGTGCTTCGGTGTGTGGGGAAGAACCCGGAAGTGCTGAGGGCAGCCGGCGGCGGCGGGCGCGCCAGGTCCGGTCAGGGCTGGGCCGGGGATGGGGAGGGCCCTGCGGGATCCCGACCTCTGCTGGGGGGGGACCCTCCGAGAATCGGGGGCGGCTCGAACCGCCGGGACCGTGGTGCTGGGACCTCTCCCGAGAGACCGCTCCAGGAGCGCTCCGGTTGTGGCGGGGGGGGCCGGAGGGTCCCGTGTGGAGGCGCGGTCGGGGGGGGTCTGGAATCTTCTCTGTAAGGAGCGGAACCCGCTCCGGAGCGTCCCGGCTGTGCCGTATTCACTTCAGGAAGGAGAATCCCGCCGGGGGTCTGGCTGTGGGAAGGGGGATCTGCTTTGGGCTGGGAGATGTTTCCCCTCAGAACGGAGGATCCGGTCGGGCGGCTCTGACCGGGCCATCTTTCCCCTCAGAACAGAGGATCCGGTCGGGCGGTTCTGACCGGGCCATCTTTCCCCTCAGAACACGGGGATTTGGTCCGGTGGCTCTGACCGGGCCATCTTTCCCCTCAGAACAGAGGATTCGGTCCTGTGGCTCTGACCGGGCCATCTTTCCCCTCAGAACAGGGGATCCGGTCCTGTGGCTCTGACCGGGCCATCTTTCCCCTCAGGACAGGGGATTTGGTCCGGCGGCTCTGACCGGGCCATCTTTCCCCTCAGAACACGGGGATTCGTTCTGGGGCTCCCCTTGCCCGGGGGGCTTTGTTTAGGGGATCCTCTTTTCCTTTCTCAGGGGCTGTTTGGGGGGGACAGTCGGTGCAGGGGGGTCTTCCCTGCTCTCCCAAGGGCTCCAATTTTGGGGAGGGGTCACCCTCTTTCCACAGAGCCGGGGAGGGGCTGGAGTTTGGGGGCTGCAGCTTTTGGGGGGTGATTTGGGCACTTTATTTTGAGGGGTGCTGTGGGATTTAGAGAGGGGGGGGAGTCCCAGGGTGTGAGTGGGGTCTGTTCTCCCTGTAAAGGACCGTGAGCCTTGGCAGGGATTATTCTGAGGAAGGGATTTGATTCCATGATTTTGTGATTGTGTGATTCCATGGTTTGTGTGATTCCATGATTTGTGTGATTCCATTATTTCCGTGAGTCTGTGATTTCCATGATTCAGTGATTCCATGATTCCGTGACTTTGTGATTCCATGATTTCCATGATTTTGTGATTGTGCGAGTCCATGATTTCTGTGATTCCATGATTTCCGTGATTCCATGATTTTGTGATTGTGTGATTCCATGATTTGTGTGATTCCATGATTTTGTGATTGTGTGATTCCATTATTTGTGTGATTCCATGATTTCTGTGATTCCGTGATTTCCATGATTCAGTGATTTTTGTGACTGTGTGATTCCGTGATTTTGTGATTGTGTGATTCCGTTATTTCCATGATTCCACGGTTCCATTATTTCCATGAATCTGTGACTCCCATCATTCAGTGATTCCATTATTTCCACGAATCTGTGATTCCCATCATTCAGTGATTCCATGATTTCCATGAATCTGTGATTCCCATCATTCAGTGATTCCATGATTTCCGTGATCCCATGATTCCCATCATTCAGTGATTCCATGATTTCTGTGATTCCGTTATTTCCATGATTTCCATGGTTCCATTATTTCCACGAATCTGTGATTCCCATCATTCAGCGATTCCCTGATTTCCCTGATCCCATGATTCCCATCATTCAGTGATTCCATGATTTCTGTGATTCCGTTATTTCCATGATTTCCATGGTTCCATTATTTCCACGAATCTGTGATTCCCATCATCCAGTGATTCCATTATTTCCATGAATCTGTGATTCCCATCCTTCAGCGATTCCCTGATTTCCCTGATCCCATGATTCCCATCATCCAGCGATTCCCTGATTTCCCTGATCCCACCATTCCCATCATTCAGCGATTCCCTGATTTCCCTGATCCCATGATTCCCATCCTTCAGTGATTCCCTGATTTCCGTGATCCCACCATTCCCATCATCCAGCGATTCCCTGATTTCCATGATTCCGTTATTTCCATGATTCCATGATTTCCATGGTTCCATTATTTCCATGAATCTGTGATTCCCATCATCCAGTGATTCCATTATTTCCATGAATCTGTGATTCCCATCATCCAGTGATTCCATTATTTCCATGAATCTGTGATTCCCATCATTCAGTGATTCCCTGATTTCCCTGATCCCACCATTCCCATCATCCAGCGATTCCCTGATTTCCCTGATCCCACCATTCCCATCCTTCAGCGATTCCACGATCCCCGTGACTCCCCCGTTCCCGCTCCCCGCGGCTCCTGACCCCTCCGCGTGTCCCCGCAGAGCCCGTCCCATGCGTGTGACCATGCCGGGCCCCGGCGGCGCCGGGCTGGCCCCGGAGGAGCGCGTGCGGCAGCTGATCCAGGCGGGGAGCAGCGTGGAGGTGAGCGAGGACATCCCCCCGCGCCGCTACTTCCGCTCGGGCGTGGAGATGCTGCGCATGGCCACCGTCTACCGCGAGGAGGGCAACCTGGAGCACGCCTTCATCCTCTACAACAAGTACATCACGTAAGGCTGGGGGCTGCAGGGGGGCTGGCCATGGTGACACCGGGGGGTTGGGGAGGTGGGAGAGCTCCAGGGCTCTGGGTTGTGGTCGGAGCTGTGCTCCTGAGGGATTTGGGGTGCCACAGCGGGTGGGATTGGCCAGGAGGGGTTGGGAGGGAGCAAAGCCACAGGTGCAGCTCGGTCTGGCCAGGAGGTGCTGGAAAGGTGAGGCACAAATCCACAGATGCAGTTCAGACTGGTCAGGGGGGGTTGGAAAGGCACAGATGCAGCTCAGACTGGTCAGGAGATGTTGGGAAGGCACAGATCCAGCTCAGACTGGTCAGGAGGGGTTGGAAAGGTGAGGTATAAAGTCACAGAGGTGTTGGAAAGGCACAGATGCAGCTCAGACTGGTCAGGAGGTGTTGGACAGGCACAAAGCCACAGATCCAGCTCAGACCGGTCAGGAGGGTTGGAAAGGTGAGGCACAAAGCCACAGAGGTGTTGGAAAGGAACAAAGCCACAGGTGCAGCTCAGACTGTCCAGGAGATGTTGGGAAGGTGAGGCACAGAGCCATAAGCACAGCTCAGACAGGTCAGGGTGGGTTGGAAAGGCACAGATCCAGCTCAGACTGGCCAGGAGGGGTTGGGAAGGTGAGGCACAAATCCACAGGTGCAGCTCAGACTGGTTAGAAGATGTTGGGAAGGTGAGGCAGAAAGCCACAGCGGGTGGGATTGGCCAGGAGGTGTTGGGAAGTTGAGGCACAAAGCCACAGATCCAGCTCAGACTGGCCAGGAGATGTTGGAAAGGTGAGGCACAAAGCCACAGGTGCAGCTCAGACTGGCCAGGAGATGTTGGAAAGGCACAGATCCAGCTCAGACTGGCCAGGAGGTGTTGGGAAGGCACAGATCCAGCTCAGACTGGCCAGGAGATGTTGGGAAGGCACAGATCCAGCTCAGACTGGTCAGGAGATGTTGGGAAGGCACAGATCCAGCTCAGACTGGTCAGGAGGTGTTGGAAAGGTGAGGTATAAAGTCACAGAGGTGTTGGAAAGGCCCAGATCCAGCTCAGACTGGCCAGGAGAGGTTGGAAAGGCACAAATCCACAGATACAGCTCGCTTGTGAAAGTTTCCAGAATCCATAATCCCAGAAAAGTTTGGCTTGGAGGCCATCCAAGCCCAGGCAGGGTCACCTGGAGCAGGTGACACAGGGACAGGTCCAGGTGAGTTTGGAATGACTCCAGAGAGGGAGACTCCAGCTGTTCCAGGACTCTGCCACGCTCCATGGAAGGAATTTCTTCCTCCTACTGAGGTTGAACTTGTGGTTTATGTGGCCCTCAGTCCTTGTCCTGTCACTGGGCACTGATGGGAGAGTCTGGCACCCCTTTGGGATACTGGTGTTATGGGAATGAAATTCCCATGGGATCCAAGCTTGGATCTCTCTGTCCCTCAGGAGACTGCAGTCAGGTCGACCTGTAGGTCAGAGTCTGCAGGTGTTTCATCACCTCAGTTGGCCTCAGTTTCATTTTAGGTCAGCTGTGACATCCTAGGGCTGGGCAGGGATTTCTGTATCCAGTATCCACCTGGAAGGGTCGAGGCTGGGCTGTGGTGTCGACTAATCCACCCTCAGAGGAGAATCCTGATTTAATTTGAGCCTGGTTTACTCTGAACCTGATTTACTCAGAGCCTGGTTTACTCAGAGCCTGGTTTACTCTGAACCTGATTTACTCTGAGCCTGGTTTACTCTGAGCCTGCTTTACTCTGAACCTGATTTACTCAGAGCCTGCTTTACTCCGAACCTGTTTTACTCCGAGCCTGCTTTACTCCGAGCCTGCTTTACTC